TCATTCTTTTGAACCAAGATTTCAAGGAGGTAGGTTGTGTCTTTATTCTGCTTGAAATTTCATATTTTTTTTAGACCAAAATACAGCTTAGTTACTGAGCTTGATAAATTACAGTGGAATTCTGTGGTATCAATGTAGTAATTTATGATTTTTTAGTTATTCAAAAGTGTGTATATATATATTGGTTCACATCCTCCACATGCAAAATTTTTTAAGGCTTAGCAAGCTACCACAAGCAGCAACCAAGTACAAAGGTCTGAACTAGAAGGTATAATTGTTTGTTTTACTTCTTTATTTCATGTTCTATGTTTTAAAAAATAAAGTTATTTCTGAATAGTAATAATGTATATAAATATATAATTTATAATAAATGAAATGCGACTGAATTTTACAAAATACTAGTCCACTAAAACACAACTAAGACCAGGTCACTTTGTAGAGACTAAAGGTCAGTTTTATAGTATTGGATACAGTAACATGAGTGCACATGTGCCTCATCATTGTAACTTCTGTATTGTTAGCCAGGCACAGCTAAAAGGTCAATATAATAAAAATAATAAATATATATATATATATATAAATGTATAATGTTATGAGTTTTAAGCTATTTTGTCTAAACATTTATATTTTCATGTTACAATTTGTAGTCATTCTAGAACAAAAAAGGCATAATTTATATTAATCTCCTAATTTTTCTATGGTGATTATGATATTGATCAAATCGACCAAACTTGTACAGATATTCATTGATGAAAATAACAAATATGATATAAAGTTTTTTCTTTAAAAACTTTTGATAACTATCTGGACATTATAAAGATTAGGCATGTGAAATTTGAAAATATTGTGATGCATAAAAGTATTTTTAATCTTGAAAGTAAAATTACTTTGCATTTTGGATAGGCAACATGAGAAAATAAAAAGGCATGAGAAAAACATTGCTTTAGAAAAAAATCCAAATTAAATATCTTGTTTTTGAAAAGCTACATACTTATAGAACCTTTCATCTCAAATTTAAAAGAATTTCATCCACTAGTTTCATTTTTGTAAAGAACTTTCACAAGAGTTGCATACCTACTTACAATGTAGTCAAAGCATTAATGTAGGGAAGTAGCTGGAAAGTATTTTTGGGTTTTGTTGATATAGGGGAGTAGATACACAGTGTTTTTGTTGGAAATTGTTGTTGCTGTTGTATGGCAGCTTTGTTCTTTTTTTTTATTTAGGGAAGTAGAAGGAATTTTTTTTTTCAATATAAGGAAGTGGATCATAAGCTTTTATTGATGTAGGGAGGTATCTGGAATGTTTTGTATTGCTGTTGAAAGGTATCTAAAAATGTTTATAGAGAACTAAGAATTTTTTGTTCAAGATATAGGGTGGTATCTGGAAAGTATTTCTTTTGAGGTAGGCAAGTATCTGAAAAATTTGTAGTTGTCAAAATAAGAAGGTAGTTGGAAAGTGTGTTCTTTTGTTGATTAGGGAAGTATCTTTAAAGTTTTTGTTGTTCATGTAGAGAGGTGTCTAAAATTTTTTGTTGTTGATGTATGAAAGTAATTGAAAAGTGTTGTTTTATTGATATAGAGAAGTAGATGGAAAGCATTTTTTATTTTTGGTGTAGAGAAATACATGGAATGTGTTTCTTTTGTTTATGTTGGGATGTGTTTGTTGAAGAAGGGAAGTAGGTAGGAATTTTTTTTTATGTTGTTGTTAGTCTAGGGAAGTAGCTGGAAAGTTTTTTTCTTGCCGTTTCAGGGAATTAGCTAGAATTTGTTTTTTTATGTTGATGTAGGGAACTATCTTGTTTATTTTATGTTGGAAATAGCTGGAAAGTTGTTGATGTAGAGAACTATCTGGAAAACATTTTTTTGTTGGTATAAGGAAGTTGTTGAAAATTATTGTGAAAGTATTTGTTGATATAAAAATATCTTGTGTATTCAGCAACAACAGGTAATTATACTGCTGTTTTCTTATCACAAACATAAGTCCAATATATTTGTTTTTGTTACTTGCATGATGCTGTAGAGGTAGATGAATCTTTTATCCTTACAGGATCATGTTAGAAGGAGAAAAGGTGTAATTGTGATGATATCATCAAGATATTGACCAGAGATTAAACGAAAATGTAGAATCATCAGTACTTAAAAGCTTTAAGTGATTATAATTGTGTAATGTTTCTAGGAATATGTCTCGGTTTTTCTTAGGGGCTTTGCAAGATGTTAAAAGATACAAATTTGGATCAGAAAGAATTGGAGAAAGCTAAAGAAGGACAGAAGTCAGATTATCCTAATGGCATACCAGAGTGTGGAACAGATGCCCTTAGATTTGCTCTCTGTGCTTACACTGCACAAGGTTAGTGTCAAATATTGTAACATGTTGTAATAGGAGCTGGAAAAACTTGAAGTTTTTCAGTGCTCTAGAGGAAAGTATAATAATTGACCAGTTTTGAACATTTATTCTTACTGCAAAGTGATGAGAAGAAAATACTGTCTTCATTTGAATCTCTTCTGAAGAGTGTTATGTTCAAGGGATAATAACATGACACTACTAATAGTCAAATTTGGCTTGTCTTCATCTTAACCAAATATTTAAAAAATGAAAATCTTTCTTGTCTTTCAATCATATCAAACAATATGTCTTAAACGTACAAGTTTGAAAAAAAGTTACCAAAAGTTTAGTTTAAGTTTGCTTTCTAATCATATAAATTAGTATAATGTGAGATAACCTTTTAAAATATGAAATGATTGTGCAAGTCTTCTCTTCTGCATCAAAACTGTACTTGAGATTGAGAAATTCAGAAACAGCTGAGGTGAACAAGGGAGTGATTTTATTTTCTTGTTCCTTGATACAAGTTGTTGGTTATATCAGATATTTGTTGAATACACTTGGAAAATTTGCTAAAATATGTATTTATAATGTTTTGTTAGTCTAAAACAAATTTTATATTTAATCATAAATGAATTAATTTCTTGATGACTTTCTTCATCATGTTCATCTGATCTTAGTTTCTACCTCAGAATAAAGTAGAAACCACTCAAAGGATCTGAAATATATAAATCAATGAAATGGATATGTAATTAACTAAGGTAGAGCATATACAGTTGTACCTTGTAGACAGAAAATATTTAGTAAAAAACCAAGAAGAATGACCAATGAAATATCTCATGAGTTAAATAAAGATTCTGCATATCTTCTTATAAGCAGAGTAGGAACTATTGCTCTTAAAAGTGAGTTACAATTATTAAATATACAAAATTTGTGATTCTTGTGTGTGCATTTTTTTCTGAAATATGTCTTCCAGTAGTTTTATTCTCATTTCTAACTTCTACTTGATGCAAAGCTTGCTAAGTCAGTTAACTAGGAGGACAAAAAGTTTATATAACATTTGAAATTGAAACGCTTTATAATCTCACATTGCTTTCCAACACTTCAAGACCAAAATGATTGTAACTCCTTAGTGTGAGTCAGAGTCATTTTGTAATTGCAGTTCATTATCCTTTTTTTCACCCAATTTTTTGACATAACATTTTTATTAAGAGTTAAAACAATTATTTTGCTAGTTTTGAAATGGATTTGTGAGCTAATATTAAAGTAAACTTAACCTATCCAACTTGTTGCTATGGAGATTAATATTTGAGTGTAATGAATAAAAATGTCCTTGTCTATTATAATAGGTCTCATAATTACAGATACAATCAGTTTATTATTTAGTTTAATATTAATTCTTTATGTTTTTTGTGAATACCTTTGTAATTTTCCTGAACTATTTAAAAGCATATTTCATGGGCATAAAAATTGTAATATAAAAAAGGTACTTGGAAATCAAGATCATAAGAACAAAAATAAATTTTACAGGTTTTTTTTGCATGTATAGTTTATACCCATTATGTATAAGTTTTCCTGGTCTTATCTTAGGTTTTCACATGTACTTTATATTACTGAAGTTTTCAGTTATGTGTATGTTCATTATCAGACTTTCTTGATGTTATGTTGATTCTTGCTTTTAGAGTAATTTTATGTTAATATAATGTAAGTCATTTTCATTATTTTATAGCTTTTTTTTTGGTATGTGTACAACTGTCACCTATCAACACAGGTTCTTGTATATCATGAATTTTTCATTGCATTATAGGTCGTGACATCAATTTAGACATCAACCGTGTGGAAGGATACAGACATTTTTGTAATAAGCTCTGGAATGCTGTAAAATTTGCACTGTTGTATTTGGGCAACTCGTTCAAACCAGTCAGTGACTTCCAGGTGTGATTTCTGAGCATTAGTACTACATAGCATTATCAAGTTAGAATAAAAAATTATATATGTTTAAATGCAAAAAAAAGCAATAATCTTGTTTTATCATTTAATCTAAACATTCTGTTATTAAAATAATTTGGAGGGAATGTTCTATTTGTTGTTTTTTTTAATAGAAGTAGTTTTTCAATTTTAATACAATTGGTATTTTTTAAATCTTATCAACAACTGATATGAATTTTTCTGGTGTTAAATGCACACCAGTGAATCAAATTTAAGTAAAAAATATAATTCTGATTCTCTTTTGAAAATTTTTTACTCATTAATATTTTAGAATTGAAAATTTAACATTTTATAACATTTACTTCATTTCACCAAAACAAATTTAATCCTCTCGCTATGGGTAGGTTAAAGTGTGCATTTTACAATCTTTTACAGGGTTTCAGTACTGTGCAAAAGTGTTAGGGCAAAAGAACATTTTGTCATTTCTTCCATTTTTTGTGCTAATTCTTCCATGCCATTGCAGAATGAAAATTTCAACACTATGGTATTGCTTCATTGATCCCTGTGGACAAATGGAATGAGCCAGGGTAATAATACTTATCATTCTTTAGAATTCCCATATACTTGTACCAAGGG